CTCCATGGACAGGGTTAGAGAAGTGTTAAACATATAGTTCAAGGGTTTAGTGAACAATCAACCACAGAAGGTGATTCGGTGCTTTTAAAATGCTAAGCTAACCTACATACGTAAATACATAGATACACAGATTTACGTATGCCCTACATAAAGTGTTCGAAGTGTCTTTTACATAGTGTCATTAATGTGCATTTACAAAGGTGAAATGTAATTCTGATCAGCTTCCATATATACTTTATACACATAAATATACATACACACATGCATTCACATACATTTGTCTCTTTTACTCTGACAGGGCTGAGCTGTCATAGCTGATAGAGAAACTAGTGTGCAATTAAGCACTTAATCACTGAAGGTGCTGAAGGTGCTTTTACAAGCTCAGGTTATATAGTTACATCATATACACACATTGTATAATTGATACATTACATGGTCAATCTTGGGTACAAGTCCAATATATCATCAAGTGTTCCAGTACTCATATAGTAATTACACAGTTCAGCAAATTTTTGACATGTTAGGTTTCGAACCTGTTACGGCCCTCTCGGGACGCAACGGGGTTCTTACTCTGATGTTGTTAGAGGAAGTTGTATCCGATCCCAAGCCAGTAGTGGCTTTCAAGGGATGTGATCCGTGACGCAAGTAACTTAAAGGGGAAGGGAAATAAAGGCAAAAACTTAAGATTATAATTATTAAACCATCACCAAATAAATAATATAAGATTACACAGGGGGAAGGGTATTAACACTGTACACAATCGTCTTCTCCTGAAGACTCTGGATCCAAGCTCTCGGTGCTAAGTCCTCGGTGCTTTCGTGGCCTCACAATGAATAATTTGAGAAGCTGAGTCTACCCTGGCCACAGGTCAGCCAAAACACAGGTCCACTGGGGGCACCGCCGTGGAGGCCGTCAACCACAAGTCCAGCAGGTCTGCTGGCAGGTTCCGGACCAGCAACGCTGGTCAGGCCCCTCCACGAGCGATACTAGGGTAACGCCTTAGTCAGGAGCCTCGTGTGATACCACAAATCACTCTCCTGTCCTCAATACCCCAGTGGATAATCGTCTCCAGCAGTCGGTCCCGGGTAATCCTTCTACTGCCACTCCACTGGCAGGGTAACACCACAGTGTTCTTCCGGGGGACGACTTCACAGCTGCTACAGCAAAGCACAAGGTATGGGGACGGCTGCCTTGGGTAGACTCACTCAACTTCCATCACAGCAGTCCCAGGTCGACTCTGTAAGCAGACACGTCATCAATAACAGGGACACTAAAACACCTCACTTACAGGCTCAGACACAAACGCCCGACATATCCACTCCATAGATGGCGCTGTTGTCTGAGCACCACCTCACCAGAGGTCAGCAGTGGCTGTGTTGAGCGCTGAACGGGACTGGAAACTGGCCCTCGTAGCCAGTACACGTCGTCCTCACCAGGTGTCGTCGTCCGTTTGGAGGGGGTTTCGGGAGCTGACCCACAGATGGCGCGGTCGTCACTGCTCCGTGCTCGGACGCTGGATCCGGGTTCGTAACAGAACCTTTTACTGATCTTGAGTTTTTTTTTAATTATGTTAGAAACTTAATTGACGGCAATCGCTGTTTTTTGCTGCTACTGCTACTACTCCTGCTGCTACTGCTACTGCTCCTGCTGCTACTGCTACTGCTGCTGCTGCTACTGCTGCTGCTACTGCTGCTGCTACTGCTGCTGCTACTGCTGCTGCTACTACTGCTACTGCTGCTGCTGCTGCTACTGCTACTGCTGCTACTGCTACTGCTGCTGCTACTGCTACTGCTGCTCCTGCTGCTGTTGCTACTGCTGTTGCTGCTACTGCTGCTGCTGCTGCTGCTACTGCTACTGCTGCTGCTGCTACTGCTACTACTGCTGCTGCTGCTACTGCTACTGCTGCTACTGCTGCTGTTGCTACGGCTGTTGCTGCTACTGCTGCTGCTGCTGCTGCTACTGCTGCTACTGCTGCTGCTGCTGCTGCTGCTGTTACTGCTGCTACTGCTGCTGCTGCTACTGCTGCTGCTGCTACTGCTACTACTGCTGCTACTGCTACTACTGCTGCTGCTACTGCTACTGCCGCTACTGCTACGGCTGCTTCTACCGCTACTATTGGACAGGGAGAGGCCTCAATAGCCAGTGACAGGATGTGATAGCATCTCCAACGTTCACTTGGAGTGTGGTAATCTGGACTTAAAATGCGTTACCACGGTCAAAGAGTGAGGAGGCTGGAGATAAGGGCCAGCTCTACGCCCTGATAATCTCTCTAACGTTTTTACATTTTTCATCCAGTGAGAAGTCGCCGTAAATGTTGTCTTCCCAACGCCAGACATTCCTCCACCAGCCCCTTGAAAGGGGTTTTGTTCTTTGTCCGTTTAAAGGGGTTTTCTTTTGTTTTTGTCCGTTTAAAGGGTTTTTTTTTGTCCGTTTAAAGGGTTTTTTTTTTGTCCGTTTAAAGTTTTTTTTTTTGTCCGTTTAAAGGGGTTTTCTTTTGTTTTTGTTTTTTGTCCGTTTAAAGGGGTTTTCTTTTGTTTTTTGTCCGTTTAAAGGGGTTTTCTTTTGTTTTTTGTCCGTTTAAAGGGGTTTTCTTTTGTTTTTTGTCCGTTTAAAGGGGTTTTCTTTTGTTTTTTGTCCGTTTAAAGGAGTTTTCTTTTGTTTTTTGTCCGTTTAAAGGGGTTTTCTTTTGTTTTTTGTCCGTTTAAAGGGGTTTTCTTTTGTTTTTTGTCCGTTTAAAGGGGTTTTCTTTTGTTTTTTGTCCGTTTAAAGGGTTTTTCTTTTGTTTTTTGTCCGTTTAAAGGGGTTTTCTTTTGTTTTTGTTTCTTGCGACAAACATTATAAGGATTTGTATTATTATGAAAGGTGGTGTGTATGGGTGGATATACTTACAGTGGTCAGATGGATGGTCGGGGTTAATAAGGGGTGGTGTGTACCGGTGGATATACTTACAGTGGTCAGATGGATGGTCGGGGTTAATAAGGGGAAAGTAAATATAAATCTGAACATATCTTATACTTTACCTCCAATATACAACACATAGCCAAAAAAGTATCAGAGACTGCCGGTATACTCTCTAAAATGGTATATTATGTTCCCCACTTCTGCTCTCCTATCATACTACTCACTAATATATCCCTATCTTACATACGGCATCTGTGCATGGGGTTCAGTCAGTGCCAATTACCTCAAGTCTATCATCACCCTGCAAAAATCTACTATCAGGACTATAACAAACTGTGCCTAGAAGTTCAAGTTGAAGTATGTTTATTGAGATAAGCAAGAAATACATCTCAAAGGGATAGAGTAGCTTAGGCTATTTCTACCCTTCTGGGTGTGCCTAGAGACATCACACAGCCCCCTCTGTTTTAAGCCCTAAACATGCTAAACATACACTCACACCACACTTTATCTTGTGCTATTTACATGTATAAATGCTTGTTGCTAAATGCTAATCCTGATCTGAAACTCTCCCTTTTTATTTATTTATTTATTTATTTATATATATACAAGAAGGTACATTGGGTTTGTGAGAATACATTGGATAGTACAGTATTTACATTCTTGTAAAGCCACTAGTACGCGCAGCGTTTCGGGCAGGTCCTTAATCTAGCAGATAATTTTCCCTTAATAGATGTAATCCACGACCACCACACCAGAAGTAAATACATCCTTGATATCCCCAGAGTCAAACTAAATCTGTGTAAACACTCCAAGCAGAGAAAAGGACCCGGTCTATGGAACTCACTCCCTAGTGAATTAAAACATTGCCCAACCTACTCCTTATTCAGAAGTAAAATCAAAAGTACCTAATTTCATCATAATTTCCTACCTTGTGCTTCAAACTCACACTATATCTTGTGTTACCCACTCTCCCAATGTTAGTACTTGAGACATATATCTTCATATATAACTATATATATATATATATATATATATATATATATATATATATATATATATATATATATATATATATATATATATATATATATATAAAGTTATTATGTTAAACTGAAATTTTGCTATAATGAACATGTTAATAAACTTTGTTAGATTAAGGCCCTGCCTGACACACTATGGGAGTTAGTGGGTGTGCCAGACTCATCTAGTTGTACTCATCTAGTTGTGCTTGCGGGGGTTGAACTCTGGCTCTTTGGTCCCGCCTCTCAACTGTCAATCAACAGGTGTACAGATTCCTGAGCCTGTAAGGACACCTGTGTTATGTTCCCTCACACACCCTCTGTACAGTCTTCAATATAAGTCAATAAATAACTAATTAATTAAATAATGGGCTCCACTTCGAAATGTTTATAATTATTGGTAATGAAGGTAAGCGATTGGGAATAGAAGTAAGTACAGATTGGGAAGAGGTAGGCACTGATTGGTAAGAGGTAAGCACTGATTGGTAAGAGGTAAGCACTGATTGGGAAGTGGTAAACAATGATTGGGAAGAGGTAAGCACTGATTGGTAGAGGTAAACACTGATTGGTAAGATGTAAGCACTGATTGGGAAGAGGTAAGCACTGATTGGGAAGAGGTAAACACTGATTTGGAAGAGGTAGGCACTGATTGGGAAGAGGTAAACACTGATTGGGAAGAGGTAAACAATGATTGGGAAGAGGTAAACAATGATTGGGAAGAGGTAAGCACTGATTGGGAAGAGGTAAGCACAGATTGGGAATAAAGGTCATCGCTGAGTGAGAACAGAGACACAGGTGAGAGGAACAAACAGCATCATAGACACTAATTCGTGAGTCAGTTCCAAGCTAACACTTGAGACATGAGTGAGGGACCTTGAGTGTTACTTGACCTGCCTCACCTACGTCTCAAGGAGCCCCTCGTTCGCATCACCCCCCCCCCTCCCCCCACCTGAGCCAGACGCCTGTAACCTGTACAAGACAAGACATTACAGATGAGAAGACTCAAGAGTATAGTGGCCCGTGAGTATAGCTTTTGGTTCACATGTTGGAAATACTTATAACGTGTTGGCTGAGACGAGGATGTTCGCGCGATGCCTGGAGCTGAGAGTAGAGTTCGGGCGACGCCTGGAGCCAACAGCAGAGTTCTGGCGACGCCTGGAGCCAAGAGCAGAATTCGGGCGACGCCTGGAGCCAACAGCAGAGTTCTGGCGACGCCTGGAGCCAAGAGCAGAATTCGGGCGACGCCTGGAGCCAACAGCAGAGTTCTGGCGACGCCTGGAGCCAAGAGCAGAATTCGGGCGACGCCTGGAGCCAACAGCAGAGTTCGGGCGACGCCTGGAACCAAGAGCAGAGTTCGGGCGACGCCTGGAGCCTAGAGCAGAGTTCGGGCGACGCCTGGAGCCAACAGCAGAGTTCGGGCGACGCCTGGAGCCAAGAGCAGAGTTCTGGCGACGCCTGGAGCCAAGAGCAGAATTCGGGCGACGCCTGGAGCCAACAGCAGAGTTCTGGCGACGCCTGGAGCCAAGAGCAGAATTCGGGCGACGCCTGGAGCCAACAGCAGAGTTCGGGCGACGCCTGGAGCCAAGAGCAGAGTTCGGGCGACGCCTGGAACCAAGAGCAGAGTTCGGGCGACGCCTGGAACCAAGAGCAGAGTTCGGGCGATGCCTGGAGCCAAGAGCAGAGTTCGGGCGACGCCTGGAGCCAAGAGCAGAGTTCGCGCGATGCCTGGAGCCGAGAGCAGAGTTCGGGCGACGCCTGGAACCAAGAGCAGAGTTCGGGCGACGCCTGGAGCCAAGAGCAGAGTTCGGGCGACGCCTGGAGCCAAGAGCAGAGTTCGGGCGACGCCTGGAGCCAAGAGCAGAGTTCGGGCGACGCCGGAGGAGGGGCAAAGAGCTCGAACGCGGGAAGAGAGCGCGGATAGCTCGAATATAGCCGGAATCTGGCAATGTGCTCTGTGGCGAGGCTGTGTAGCGTCTTGTGAGAGCAGGAACTAGAGTCGTCGCGTGTTACATTCTTACTGGTGAGTGAAGTTCAAGATGGTGTTTGTATATCATAATGTTGGATCAGGGAGTTGAAATATAATTGTTGAAATGAGATATGACAAAATTATATTCAAATATAGACGACAAAAAGCAAGTGATTTCCTGTGAAACTTGAAGTAGAGACGGTTGGGGAGTGTCACACTACCAGCCCTCTACCACACCCTGGATGGTGCGTCACACTACCAGCCCTCTACCACACCCTGGATGGTGCGTCACACTACCAGTCCTCTACCACACCCAGGATGGTGCGTCACACTACCAGTCCTCTACCACACCCAGGATGGTGCGTCACACTACCAGCCCTCTACCACACCCAGGATGGTGCGTCACACTACCAGCCCTCTACCACACCCAGGATGGTGCGTCACACTACCAGCCCACTACCACACCCAGGATGGTGCGTCACACTACCAGCCCACTACCACACCCTGGATGGTGCGTCACACTACCAGTCCACTACCACACCCAGGATGGTGCGTCACACTACCAGCCCACTACCACACCCAGGATGGTGCGTCACACTACCAGCCCACTACCACACCCAGGATGGTGTGTCACACTACCAGCCCACTACCACACCCTGGATGGTGCGTCACACTACCAGCCCACTACCACACCCAGGATGGTGCGTCACACTACCAGCCCACTACCACACCCAGGATGGTGTGTCACACTACCAGCCCACTACCACACCCTGGATGGTGCGTCACACTACCAGCCCACTACCACACCCAGGATGGTGTGTCACACTACCAGCCCACTACCACACCCTGGATGGTGCGTCACACTACCAGTCCACTACCACACCCAGGATGGTGCGTCACACTACCAGCCCACTACCACACCCAGGATGGTGCGTCACACTACCAGCCCACTACCACACCCAGGATGGTGCGTCACACTACCAGTCCTCTACCACACCCAGGATGGTGCGTCACACTACCAGTCCTCTACCACACCCTGGATGGTGCGTCACACTACCAGCCCACTACCACACCCAGGATGGTGCGTCACACTACCAGCCCACTACCACACCCAGGAGAGTACGTCACACTACCAGCCCACTACCACACCCAGGAGAGTGCGTCACACTACCACACCCAGGAGAGTACGTCCACACTACCAGCCCTCTACCACACCCAGGAGAGTGCGTCACACTACCACACCCAGGAGAGTACGTCCTCACTACCACACCCAGGAGAGTGCGTCACACTACCACACCCAGGAGGGTACGTCCACACTACCAGCCCACTACCACACCCAGGAGAGTGCGTCACACTACCACAACAGCGAACTCGGACACCGGACACAAAAGGTCACTACCACACCTGCACTTACTTGACTCGCAGTGTTGCTTGTTTCTGTCACACTCCGCCCAAGTAAACCAGAAACAAGCAACACTTAGTGGGCCAGCCAGAGGCTTAGGGCCCGCACAGTGGGCCAGCCAGAGGCTTAGGGCCCGCACAGTGGGCCAGCCAGAGGCTTAGGGCCCGCCCAGTGGGCCAGCCAGAGGCTTAGGGCCCGCGCAGGAATACCCCTTAAAAAAAAAAGCTACCACACCTACATATAATCATGGCTCTTCATGCGGGAGCACATGTCTTAACAACCTGATCATTCCGTTTGGCTGAGTCTCCCCCGGGCCGCTCCGGTCCGGGCCACCTGGGACGCTCCACAAATTCAAATTCAAAAATTCAAATTCAAATTCAAAATGGTTAGTTTAGTTATAAGGGTTACAGAGGCACATAATGGGCTCAGGGACTGAACCCCACAATTCATTTAGCTAAGCAAGTTACAATCTTGATGAGCTAGTTACAAAATTCAGTATAAGTCATCACATCAACAATGGGTTCGAGATCGACCTCAAGTGCAGGTTCTAAATTAAGCAACTGACATATGTGGAGAGCTAGTGTCACAATTGATATGTTTGTCCTCCACATGTTTATTCACGTAAAAGTACATACATAGAAGATTAGTTACAAACGTAATGTTGGGTTTATAGATAGAGCTAGTACATACAATACTTAAAGCCACTAATACGCACAGCGTTTTGGGCAAGGTTACAGACACAATAAATGTAAATTATACATTAAACTTACATTTATGAGTTTATGTATATAAACAAAATATAATGTAGCCACAATTAGCAATCATTATCCATATGAATAAACCCATTACCCCCCCCCTAGAGTCTACAAGGTTATTACCAGAGCTAAGAGGGTTAAGCTATGGGGAGAGGATAAAGAAGCTAGACCTCAACCTGGGAGAGGAGAAGAGACAGAGGGGACATGATCACAATATGCAAGATATTGAGGAGGAATTGTCATGGTGGACAAATTCAATCCTTTTTTTATTTAGAGGAAGTAGTATGAGAGGACATAATTAGAAGCAGGGAATACAATGGAGTCGAAGAAAGGTAAGGAAATACCCGTATCCTTTACGGGTGAAGAACGAGAGGAATGTACTTAAAGAAAAAGTTATGGAAGCCACCTCCATCCACAGCCATAAGGCCAGATTCGACAAAGAATTGGAACATCACAGAATAATTATAAGTCCAGAGGGACAACAAGAGGAGTAGCCGGATATATAAAGAGCCAGACGTCACTTCCCTATTGTCACTGGTAGGTAAGGTAAGCCCACCTCGCAGCACCTACACCTGACCCTTATGCCCCCCCCTCCTCCTCACACTAATGATACTCGTAAGTGTACCCTACACCCGGGCTACCACGAGCACAGTCGCCCACACGCAACTCTCACTACAACAATTCTGCTTAGTCTACGGGCTCTCCATAGCCCGTGCTACATGGAACCTTTGTTCCCAGTAGCTGACTCTGAAACAACAACATTGTGCTTAGTCTCTCGCCTCACTCAGAATCTATTTAGTAATAATAGCCCGCTCGAGAATATAATAGTGTTGAAGGAGCTATATTACACGAGGAGACAATGCTAGGCTACTGGGACTATGCTTGGTGGGGAAGCTGTTACTCGGAGAAACATAGGCTACGAGGTCTATTGGCCCATGCCAGGCCTATTTATATCACACCAAGCCCACTCATAAACACGACTAGCCTTCTCTTGACACAATTCAACTTATCCTATTTGTTTACAATGTTTGCAATTCTATGTTATGTTAATATATGCAAGTTAAGGGAGGTGCCTTAAAGTTGCCCGAAACGCTATGCGTGCTATAGTGGCTTAACAACAATGTAAAATCAACTTAATTTCTATGTTCTCTGTTAACCCCCAATGTACCTTCTGGTATATAAATAAATAAATAAATAAATAAGTTGGTGACACTGTAGTGGGCCAATTTTTGTTGGCTCATCCTGGGCGGTGCCCATCAAGACTCCCATACATCTATAAAGCCTATTTTTAAAGCTAGCTTTACCAATTGTCTCTGGCGATGTTGGCCGGCAACCTATTCCACTGGTCTCTACCACTGTTGCCAAACCAGTACTTCTCCACAGCCTTCCTCTGTCTACACTATTCCAACTTATAACCCTTAATGTTAATGGTACTTATGTGCTCTGAGACTTTTAAAGATCTTGCTGTAACATCTCCTGTTAATATTCCTCCTCAACTTAAAAAGACACAATGAAGTGTTACATAAAGGCGCCCAATTGTTACATAAATATGCCTAAGTCTTATGTAAATGCATAGAAGTGTTACATATAATCTCACGCATGTATGGTTCATATGTATTTACATATGTGAGGCATAATATCTCTGTCCATTCCCCCTTTCGTGCCGTTGTCACGATGGGCAAGACTCGTTTTTTGTATATTGTGAGCTGAAAATGTACTTCTTGAAGCCTCTGACAATTGAGAAGATGAGTGACCGGAGTAGTGGTGCCTACTCGCTGCCTCCTGGTGCTCGCTCGTCATTGACCTCAGCGCAGGATCAAGCACACTTAGGTGTTGATGTGTGTATACGGGATGAAGAGCTTGTATATTTGAACACTAGAGGGCGGAGTGTGTTAGAGGCTATCACAGCGCTGGTGGCGGCTGCTAGTGTGGGAGCCTAGTCACAACACGGGAAGTGGCCACGATAATGCCAGCTGGCCCCATCCACTCCCTTATACACACACACACACACACACACACACACACACACACACACACACACACACACACACACACGCACGCACGCACGCACGCACACACACACACACACACACACACACACACACACACACACACACACACACACACACAAAGGCGCCATACACAGTTTCAAGTGTAGATATGATAGAGCCCAATGGGCTCAGAAACCTATACATCAGTAGATTAACAGTTGAGAGGCGGGACCAAAGAGCCGGAGCTCAACCCCCGCAAGCACAACTAGGTGAATACATACACAAACACTCACACACAACCTGATTCTTGTCTAATAATGACACATTGAGTAGATGATTGACAAGGTGGAAAAGGGCAGCCTCTTTAAAATTATAGAAATTAGAACAAGCGCATATAGGTGAAAGCCGGAAACGCACATAAGTCAAAGAACCAGGGAATACTCTCACGCTGAACGAGTGGTCAACAAGTGGACGGCGCTGAACGAAGTCCTGGAAGCCACCTCCATCCTTAACATCAACGACAGATATGACAAAGAATTCGATCATCAGTAAGGTAAACAAAAAAAACAAAAGACTAAAGCACCAGGTACAACAAGGCTGTTCATCCACTACATAAGTGTCCATGCTAAATAAATAGAATTCAGTGGTACACAGAAAATGAAAAGAAAGTGTGTGATAGCACACAGAAAATGAAAAGAAAGTGTGTGATAGCACACAGAAAATGAAAAGAAAGTGTGTGATAGCACACAGAAAATGAAAAGAAAGTGTGTGATAGCACACAGAAAGTGAAAAGAAAGTGTGTGATAGCACACAGAAAA